TCGACGCTAATCGAAGAGGTGTTCACCTCCTCTGGCGCGTATCGGGCGACAGGCGAGGGGCTGAGGAGGAATTCTCCACGTGCGGTTTGTCTTTTGCACAGCGTCGAGCTTTTTCTCGGGCTGCCCGTCACACTCTCGAAACACGCATCGATGCAAAGTTCTCATGCACGAGCGTTTGGGGTTATACTATTTTTTTTCTCTTAAAACAACGACAGGGGACTTTTCTTTAGTTTATAGTGATGAGATTTCATTGCTTGAATAAACATTGTTTTCAGTCATATAAACTTACGCGGTTTCTAATTCATCATGACAGATACAGCACCATACAGTGTCTCGATTATGTACTCATGTTCCAGACATGAGTTACTTGTGTTCCTTAACCGATTGAACCATTATAGCCGTCCAATTATTTGATCTTTCCTAACTACTTGTGAATAGAAATTTCAACACGTCGACTTTCCGATGATAAGAATTTTCATGAACAAACCATCCGTTGCAAATGTAAAAGCTCCTCAATTTTTTTTTCCTTGTTTTACTTGGGTGAGAAATGTAAGAGTCTTCTCCTTTTTTACTTGTAATTTTGTTACAAACTAAACCAATGGAATAACGCTGATCTTCCGTACTGGGGGAAAACAAAAAGCACCGCTCGCAGGTTTACCCCAAAGTACGCAGATACAGTGCCAGCACGAGGGACCGAGAGGGAGGGGGAGGTAAAAGGCGCGCGGGGAATCGACAGAGACAGGGCCCGAAACCGCAGCAGTATCTCTCCACTCTCGGCGCTTCGGGTCCCGTGTGCTCCTGCAGCTGCAGGTATGTGTGTGTGTGTGTGTATACACGCAAGTTCGAGGTGGCGCGCGAAACTTGCGGTTTTGACCGAGAGGGGCGGCAGGAGGAGGAGGAAGAACCCGAGACGAACACACATCTCTCAGGGTGAGGGGGAGACCTTCCCCAAACAATGCTAATAAATCTATCGTGGAGGCCGTCGCGGTGGCGGTTCGCTGCCGAACTTCCGTTTTCCCGCTCTGTGTCTTTCGATCTCCCTTCCCTCCCATCGACGCGAAATGGAAAACTTTAGAAATTGATCGATCGCCCGCGCAGGTATACATACACGTGGCTCCAACTTTGCTAACCGGTTGCTCGTGGGGGGGGGGGTGGAAATTTGGTCGTTGGTTTGTATGGGATACTTTTGATGCACCAGAGCATCGCTCGATCGAGTCTTACTCCGGCATAGCTCGGCCGCACTTTTCTATAAATAGACGTTTATCCGCGTACGCGTCTCGAGTGTTTTGCGAAACGCGTCTGACCGCCAATCTACCGTATCTACTGGCACGGAAATGTCGATAATTTTTTTTTTTTTTTTTCATTTTCACGCGGAATCGGTTGAAAATATAAAAATCGGCTCTTTCAGAGATAAGCCTCGGCTGGTATTTCGAGAATGACAAGCGATGAGAAAACTTTCCAGCTTATTCTGGTATTCATATACGGAAGCGCGGCACAATTTCTCCGGCGATAACAAGCATGTTCGAGTCGCGAGAAGAGGTACGGGGAGAGAGAGAGGGACGAAGCGCATCGGAATAAAAGGAGACGCGCATACGGATTATTTCCAGCGCTCTGTTGGGTTTTTTTTTTTTTTTCCGAGCTCTAACCACATAATTCTCTGGCCAGAGAGAGGGCCGGTGCTGTTTTGAAAGCAAGCGCTGACACTTTAAAGGGAAAAGCGAAAGACACGGAAAACGAGCGAGAGCAGCAGCACAGACAGAAAAGGGAGGGAGAGCGGCTAACAATGGCCGCCAACCAAAACATCCGATAAATCTAACCGGGCCCGGACCTCAAGCCCCGAGGGGTTTTAAACTCTCTTTCTCTCTTTCGTACACGTATCCCCGTACATCTGCGCGTGTGCGTGTTACAAACACGGGCAAACTCTTTCACCTCCCCCTTTGCTCCGAAAACCGAGAACGCGGCTTGTGCAACCCTTACATTAAAGTCAGAGCTCAATGTCGAGTGAGAGACCGAGAGCGGGGGTGGCTGCCGAGAGGGGACGGGGAAAAACGGTGGTTGGCTTTTCTGTGTATGGATATATAGGTGCATGCCTGGTATGGTGAGGGGGGTGGAGACCTCCACGTGATGGGTGAGGGTAGGTATTCACGAAAAGCAGCTATAACGGACCAAGGGATTATTTCTGACTCTTTTTTCTGCCGGACATTTGCATGTATGGTTTTGGCATTTAACAAATGAAGCGGAAAAAAGGGAGAATGGTATATATACCCAGCTACTGTCTCTTTTGGGAAAAGGTGTCTCTTAACTTTTGAAGTGAGTCACGTAAAAAAAAAAAAAAAAAAAAAAAAAGATAGCGGAAATTTAAATACGATTCCTTGCCGGGTGGATAAAATCCACGATATACGGGGCCAAAAAACACGAAACAGGCATTTGATTTTAATAAGTCGGAATGGCGAGGGGATACAGCCGTGCGACTCTTAAGGCGATTTTAACCCCAGCGGATTTTCCATCCTGCGAGGGACAGGAGTTTCAAAGGGGCTGTACGTATACACGAAGAGAGAAACGAGATAGGTACACGCGAACACCGTTTCCTAATATCCCTCGGTTGCGACATGACTCAAGTCCCGCCCGTGGTGGTAACGAGATATTCCCCGGTCACTCTGGTTTTCGTCGAAAATTCCGTGAATTTGTACGCGGTCACGGGGTAATTCGTTTTGCGACCTCGTGCGCCCTCTCGTCTTTTTTCCGTATCAAACATTCAGCAGAGCTCCGAGGGGAGGAGGCAGCGGTGCGTGTCCGAGGCCGGACCGCAAATTGTTTCGTAATTTTTCGATCCTGCCCCAAATAAATAATACAACGGCGTAGGCACACCATCGCTCGAGAGGCCACTTTGCGATCCGAGAATTTTGCTCTATGAAAAATTCATAAAAATAACCCGGTTGGGAGCCAGACGGTACGTCGCGTGATCGGTAATGCTATTGAGCTACCGTAAATAAATAATTCTTGTTTTTGTTCTTTTGTTACTTAGCCAACGAACCAATATGAATAATGTATGAAACCGTTGATTGGGTTCGACCAAATGTACAGGTATGGATTACCATTAACGAGCTGGTGATTCTTTACCAAAATAAATAATAACAGCTACAGAATAAGGTACAGAAGCCTGAGACGGGACTATTCAGGGACCACCAACAAGAAACAAGATGAAAAAATCGTAGTTAATCAGTCATCCCGATCGAGGCAGAGCAGCATCAGCATGACAAGGAAAAAAAAAAAAAAAAAAAAGTTTACACGCTCGTGCATGCACATTTGCTTATCGATTGCCTCGAATCGCAAGGTCAGTCTGCCGGACACCAAGTGATTCCCACGTGACGTCAGTAGAGCATAAAAAAAAGATAGTAACATCATCATCATCCTCGGCACTCGCTGCTCTTGGACCCTCGACGGAATATAAATGTAAATCCATCCAACATTTGCACGATGATCGAGGCGTCGGGGAGAGTCAGATATGGTGGCACCATCGCGGAATCCCTCTTTACTCCATATTCTTCGGGGTCTCGTATCTTACGCTCGCGCTCCACCTCCCACCTTCCGACTGCGGGGAGAAGAGCATCGGTGATGGTGCGTCGAATAAGAAAAGGCAAGCGCGAGAGAAGAAGAGTGCGATATTCCGCGGATGGAAGAGGAGCAGAGAGAGAGAGAGAGAAGCAGGTTACCGTGGGGGGAAGGGAGAGAGACGGAGCGAGAGGAGCCGGCTGCCATGGTTACCGTCACACTCCCGCCTCGGCTCGTTGCCATGGATACCTACTTCACTTGCAGCTAACCTTTCCCAGAGTACATGTGGGAGACGGAGCTCTGCCGCGCGCGCACGCTCGTCTTTCCCTCCGCGAGATACGGGAAGAGAGGGAGCGATGCATCTCTGATGCTCGGCGGCGCATGATGGAGAAGTGGTAAAAGGAGTAAAAGAGAGAAATGAGACGGGAGTACGTGTACCCCCGCTATTTTGTTTCTTTTACTCTTTATCGTTTATGTTGTTCGTTTATGCATCGATACTCGGGATGAGAGGGACATTTGGACTTGGGCTGCACATGAAAAGGAAGAACTTTAGTTTCAAAGGGTCAATCAAACGGAAAACTGGTGAATCCAACTTTATGATACAAAAAAGGTACGACTCGATTATCATCTTTGATCTTTGAGTTATTCATTGTTTTAGAACGGAAACTCTTAACCGCAACGATTCAGTACTCAATGGAGCATAGCTGCCAAAGTCAGTAAAAAAAACAAAAAAAAAAAAACATTCAAGTTGATTTAACAACAAACAAGGCATCTGTGAAGTAGCATCGGATCCCGTTCGCACGTACAAAGCACCTAAATCAAGCAAACACGAGATAAACACAGACACACGCACAACTCCAGTCCAACTCTGATCAACACCAAATCGCAAGATTAACGCACCCGTACGAGCGCGCGGTGCGCTCCGCGATTGGTCGACGCTCGCGTATCAATATTTGTTCGACGCCGCGAACGTGCACTCTCTTGCGAGACGCGTTATATATATGCACGTAGGTATGCGCTAATGCGCGCACGCATATCTTCATGTACACACAAGTGGACGCTCCACCCATCATCAGACAGAGTGACGTTTCGTTTGGCTATATGCACGCGGATGCAGAGTGATTGCCGTGATAAAGATGCAAAAGGGGAGTCGTGCTGCTTATGCACGCAAACTAACTTTACGAGCGTTATCATCGTTCGCGAGATACTCGTTCTTTTTTCATGCTTCAGGATTTTTGCAATGAGCACGGAAAACTTTGGCACTTTTCGTTTGATTCGTGCTTCAACGTAAGAGCAAAAATCAATGCCTATTGTTATTATGCGACTACGACTGTGTACACATCGAACTGAATTTGACATTCGGGAAGCAGAGTACCGTGAAATTTTCTAAATCCATATTTTTGTGTACAGGCAATAATGAGTAATATAAGTGAAAAATTATTTGTTACCTGGACTGCCGAGGAAAACCGAAGAGTAGAGAACACCCCGTCGTGCGTCGTTTGCCACTCTTTGCGCGTCTGGTGGCGAATTCCAGTCCCGCGGACGTTGACACCATTTACCTGAAACAAAGACAAAAAAAAACACCATTATTTATGTCTTCTACCGCGCAACACCATGACACAGATGAATCGAAAAAAATCTTTAACCAGCAAAAATGCATTGATCATGATTTTACAAAATGTATCGATCACCTCACGTCTTTCTCTTTCATCCATTAAAAAAACACTTGTACGTAATACACGCGCTAGACGCAGTAAAAAGAGATTTACCGATCTTTCTGTGCGCCTACTGCCTCCACCTTGTACTTTTTTTTTTATGCCTCTAATGTAGAAACAATGTTGTTTCGAAGCGTGTAACTGGGGAAGATTCTTTGGTTAGGCCGGTCACGTATAGGCACACGACCGCACCGGCCTCGTACAGAGGGACATGCTCCATTAATGGCAAGTGCCTGTGTGGGTCGATCGTAAAGGTGCTAGAGCCAGTAAATCAAATTCCGGGTAAGGTGCACAAGCAGCGCGTCTGTTAACTCCAAACAGTTACTGCCTCCATTGTACGTATGGCGTGGAACTTTAGATACAAAAAGATATAGAGAATAAAGCCTGAGCTCGCTTCTTGAAAGCCTACAACGCGAGTTGTTACGACACGCGTTGTTGTCCTTAAGGTATTTTTCCAGCCTAATTTTTGACCAAAGAAAACTTTCATCTCAGAGGATTCTTAAAAGTAAGTGGGTAATATGCTATCTGCGGTTTTTTTTTTCTGTAAAATTTTACGGATGGGCCAGCCCAAACAGATTATCTAATTATTGAATACAATTTATCACCGGGGGGTTGAAATTACACGTGAAGGAACGAAGCAACAATCAAAACGTAGCGAACGAAACTCGGAGCCGGCGCGTGATTGCAGCCGATTATTTACTGCGAGCCGATCGAAAGAAAATCGGCGCCGATCGCTTTGCATCGCTCGCACCAGAAACACACCCGTCGTCAAATTACACGTTTTCTCGATAAAACGTTCACGAGGGGGAAGAGAGACGGGTTGAATGAAGTAAAAAAAAAAAAAAAAACATAACAATCAAGTTCTTAATTGTCAGCAGCGCGATTTTATCTCTCGCGTGAGGAGCCTCTCTCTCCCGGCTTATTACACTTTTTTTTCGCGCAGCCCTTTTTTCGTACTCTCAACGCGCGCGATCTCGCACAACTACGTGCACCAAACGCCGGGGCAGATGAGCCATGGGGAGACCAGGGAAAAGAAAGTACGCGGAATAAATCGTGCAATTACATTAATTGGATAAGTGCGGCGACGGACGCGCCGGAGGAACGCGCTATCCGCGCCGATCGCATCACACGCGCTCGTGCTTTTTCCTCTCTCTCTCTCGGGGCAGTTAACCAAAGCGAGCGTGTACGTGTCCCGAACGGGGTACATAGAGGAGAGCGAGGAGATAGCTTGGGCATTTTTGCGATAATAGCTCTGAAACGCTCGACGACGAAGCTTTCGCTGACTCGCAAAATTTAAATGATTTATTCAACTACTTTTTGGTTTTTCTACCCCAAATGTCTTTATAGGTAGGGTGCATCGGTTGAACTGTCAAAAGTGTACGTTAGAGGTATACCGAGTGTGGCTCTTACAGTAAATACATAACGGTTTGAAACACTGTTACGCGCGTTATTAAATTTAAACTCAATAGCCTGGGACTTGCTTTCGCGAGATACGGATATATTATTTCTGTCTGAGTACAAACGAGTTGCGTAAATTACAAAATTGTAACGAGTACAATACGCTCGTCCGGAAATTTCAAGGGACTACAGTTGAGATTACGAAAGCGCGTTACGCACAGTCGCGTTCGTTGTTAAATTAGACATCGTCAAACCGCGTATTATTAACCATCCTCGGGAATCGACGCGAGTTTCGCTGACAAGATGTCTATTCAAGACGCAATAGATTACGTTGTACAACGTTTGGTCGAAATTAGACGCTTGTTGCGCAATGTCGTGCAGGTATTTCGGTAAGTAATCGCACAATGGCAGCAAATGTAAGTTTATTCCGGCGATATTACGACGCAAAACCAACAATGGGGACAAAAATAAGTACAATTCTCCGTCTGAACTTCCCCATTTCTGTAACGCAAACATTACGAATTCCGCGAGTTCCGTGTATATGATTTACCGCGGGCGAGAGCGAGCTTGACATTACCAAAAAAAAAAAAAAAAAACGGAAAAAAAGAACCAATTCGAGGTGTATACACACGAGGCAAGCTATGCCGCACAGCAATTTTCCAGATGTGGAAATAGGGAGAGAGGTATCTACTTTATTTCCAAGACGAAAGAGGAGGAGGAGGAGGAGGATCCCGGCACCCGTGCACGGTAGAACGGGCCGAGGGTAAGCCGCGCACCGAAGTAATTTCACACGGGATGGCGTGTAACGTGCGAGGGAGCTCCGCTCCCCCGGAAGAAAGAAGGACGACGACGAGGAAGGAGCGGAGTCTTATCTCGGGGAATGCAATATCCCCTTGCACCCCTCCCGGCGTGGCGAAAATTATATTCTCGAAAAGCAGAAAATTGCTTTTCTTCGACGAATTCGGAATTTCGCGCCCTATCGGGCCGTGCTTCCACCCTCGCAGCCGTAAAAATACCCCCGCGAAATTACACTTCCGTCGCACCGTATACGTCCCCACTTTTCCACCATACGTAGCGCGGTTCGTTTTTAATTCCCCATTAGCGCCCCGGAGCTTACATCCGCCACCTCGTGGGTATAATAGCCCTCCTCCTCCGCGTGGCTAATCGACACGGAGAGTCATCGAATATCGATTCGACGAGTAACCCGCCTCTCGACGCGACCCATCAATTATCGCCGACTCACCGGGACGATTTTCCCTCCCACTCGCCAAGAAAACGAAAATCAAACCCAACAGGCGCTTTTGCCTCGTCCTGCGGATGAGGAAGCAGCTAAGCAATAAAAACCGGCTGCGTTTATCGGAGGGTGATTAGCAGAGGAGGAGCGAGCCAACTATACGTACAGCCGCGGAGGAAAGGGGGGCCGGCAATTTGCTGGCCGAAAGCTCAAAAGGCGAGCATCGAGAGAGAGTCGCGTGCTCGTACACGCACACGTATATATAAATAGGAGCGGTGTACGGCAATTCGGGGAATAACGGAGGGAGCGTTTGCCCCTTTTATTCCCTCTCCATGGGGATCACTGTAATTATACTAATGGCAATGGTTTGTAGGCCGGTCGGTGGCGCGTATATATAGGGTCCGTGTGACGAGTGCTCTAATGTCGGGGTATCGAGCAAATGACTGGTCAATTCGGGGGAGACTTTTTAAAGACCGTATACAGCGCAGGTGAGACGAGGAGTTATCGCGTTTACTTTTTTTTTATTAAATGATTACTGTGATTCCGGATCTCGGTACGCGTGTAATAAAGGTAATGGCCCGGTTGGCTAACGATCCACCCAACACACACCCACGAGGCGTGTCGTTACGCAAATGCCCGCGGTTACTTTTAACTTGCCACCATGCATTTTCTTCGACAACAAATGACATCACGTCGAATTAATAATCCACTCTGTTTGTACATGTATTAATCGCGAGTGCATCACCTATACATTTCATATTTCTATTCGAGCCCTCATCATCCCTAACTACACGTATACGTACAGATGTACGGATGGTTGTATAGCTCTCTCTACTCATTTCAATAATGGCATCGATGAAAAAATCAGGCAATATCCATACACGTGCAGCTACACACCCTCATTAAAAATATCGCGAATCGCGAGCAATACAATGTAATTTGCATAATAGAGCTCTCTCTCTCTCTCTTTCTGGCCATTTGTAAGTAGGTATACGTGGATGACGTATGGTTGCGCGGCACTAAAAGGCAATACCGAACGAGAACTGCTCAATCCCAGCTCTTACATTGTATACTTACAGCCAAGTCTTGTGAATGAATTACCTATATGTGTAACATATGTATGCTCGTTCTACATGAGTGTGCCTGTAAATATACACATGTATTGTGTAACACCTTCGCCTCCCGATAAACAATGCCTTGACGGGGGATCATTTCGGGTGTTGTCAAACAATCGAGCTCGCGGCTGTATTTCAACGTTACAAAACACACACACACACACACACACGCAGACAAACGGCAAAAGGGGTCGAGAACGAAACAGGCATCGTCGTCCTCGCAGTCGTCGTCTGCGCGTATACCTGCAGGGCTTTGAAACACGACGTTTTCACGCAGCATCGGAGAGAGAGAGAGAGAGAAGAGGAGCCCGGGAGATTTATAGCCTCACGGAGACAGGGTGTAATCATACGCATCGGCCCCATCAACCCCGTAACTCTGATTTACCGTGGGAATTTTAAAAGTCGTTTCGATTTCTCTCCTCTCTCTCTCTCTCTCTCTCCCTTCCTTCCCGTGTATATATCTCTGTATACACGTCGTGTACCGTGCATGGATGTAGATAGTCAAGAAGGATTCCTCACGCAACGCCCGTATACACATCCCCTTCGTGCCGTCCGCACAGCAGAGGGGATATGCCAGATGCGCTGGTTGCTCGCACCCTTTTCTTCTCCGGCCATATCTCGTCCTGTGCCTCTTATTCGCAGAGGTGAGATGGTAATCTAAGGCGTGTCGATCCAAAGACAACGGGAGGATGCACGTGCCAAACGATGACGAGGCTGGAGATGTAGATTTCTCAGTTGAGGTGTCCACACCACCCACACGTGCGTATACCAATCAAGGGACCGAAAATTAATTGTAAAAGACCGATGTTCTTAAAAAGTTGACGGACATGTTGTATAGGTGTACGAGAAGTAGATGCGGTTGGCCAGCTATGACGACGGGCGACGTTACCATCGCCGGCGCGCGGCCCCGCGTCGGGGTTCCGGCACCACTTCTCGTCACCGGCGTCGTTTATTTTTGCGCCCGTAGCATAAACCACCCCCCCCCCCGTACGACAGTTATAAATTGAAACGTGATTCGACGGACGCGGGTTAGCTTCACTCCTACGCGCCTCGGGATGCTTTTACTTCTCGGTGTATCATCTCCCTGTGTGTATGTG